CTCATCGTCTAATGCCGGTATGGAAACATCATGCCACTCATCGTGATCGCGTCTAACCTTTGACTGATTCACACGTATCACTGCCTTACCAGTATTGGCTTGGACCATAGCTCCTTCTTGTCCAAGTACTGTGGCACGAACCCAACGTCCTTTATCCTTGAACTTTGATGAATCCTGAGTCCAAACAAAAACCTTCTCGCCTTGGAAATAGGGACCGTCACTTGGCATAGTCCTTCTTGCAAGATCTGCTCGAAGGTCCTGAGCTTGTCGTGCTTCTTGATGAGCTCTCAAAGCCACACGTTGTAGTTCCAAATTTGTACGATCTTGTGCGGCGGCATTAGCTGACAATTGCTCAGGGCTTGCGGTCTCAAGGTCAAAAAGATCTGGTGGACGTCTTCCAGTTGCTATCTCTATTGGCGAATATCCACTGATAGTCAACTGACAATTTCTTGCCCAAACTACCTTCTTGACCACTTCTCTGACCGTAACACCACGAAAACGTGGGTCATCCAGATCTACCTTCATAACATGCCACATACGTTTGAACAAACGTACAGCTGTCTCTGCTCGGTTCGGCCAAGGAGTTCTTGGCCCACAAGGACATTGTTGTATACCATGGAACCTGTAGTATTCAACAAAAGCATCGGTGAAAAAGGCTTCGTCTCCTACGATGGCCTTTGGAACACAGTTGTTCTCATCAGACCATTGCCTCAATGCTTGGATGGTGGTTTGATCTATGAGGTCTTTCTGTGCCGTAGCCCAGAGAAGATTTGTGGCACCATCAAGAACAAGTAGAATGATATACTTGTTCTTGTGAAGTTCAACCTCACAATGATCAGCAAAAACAACATCACCAAAACATGAAGCTCTAATACCGGAGACTCTGGCTCGTGGCGGAGGTGCCACTGAAGTGTTACAAACACGGCAGTTCCTGACAACTGATTCATACTTCTCTAAAACAGAGTCAGGAAGCTTCAACATAGAAACACGTCTACGAAACTGAGTAGGACTCATATGGTAGTGCTTCACATGAAGCTTATAAAGCTCTACCTTGTCCTCCAGTCTCTGTAACATCTTCCTATATGCCGGTGTCATTGCAACAACTTCACTACCAGGTAATGGGATTGAAATCCGCCTAGGCTCAAGAGCGCCATCACCTGGTTCAAGTGGTTCATGTTTATCACTTGATGGTCCTTTTGATGCTTTAGGAATTTCTACAAGTTCACCTTCTGGCCTCTCAGGTGGTTCTGAGGGAGCATACTCCTCAAGATCATCACCCTTTAAATCATTCTGAGGCTCAGATGGGTTCGACTTGTGTCCCTTCCAAAATGGATCAAAACCCTTGGAAGTATACCGAAACTTTGGCGGCACGGGCTTTTCCGCGGCACTGGCTGGTGCACCTTCCTTCTCTGACGAGAAGCCTGGTTCCCTGTCCTTTGCAATGGGAACCTTCTCTGAGGAGGAGCGCACCACTGCATCGGGATCACCAATGCCACGGTGCTCAATGCCAGCCTTCCTGATCTTTAGATCTGGAATTTTGGCATCTGGCTTGAACTTAAAAATTGTTCTACCACGCCATTCACAGCCAATTTGTAGGTCCTTCCATTTTGCCTTGCGCCAATCATCTTGCTTCTTGATCTCTTCTCCACCTTTCTTCTTCTTGATGATTGTCAGTCGCAAGTCTTCCAGTAAGTCAGTGTCTACAGGACAGGACTTAGTTGCTGGAAAAAGAATCTTTCTATAATCCTTGTGGTGACGTATCAGTTCTCTCTTGTGAACATCTACTTCCCAGTAGTCAACCACAGGATATGCATGTTCAGCTACATCTTCATCACTATTGAGGTCAACAGAAATATGACCATATTCATAGTGAGTGAAGTGAGAGTAAAAACTCTTCTCGCGCCGAGTCTGCAAATTCACGTCAGACAGATACCATGCAATATCTTGGAAGTCCAAAACAAGATGAGTACTGGCTGCAACCTTCAACTCCAAATATTTGATACCAAGAGGCACCGATGTCAGATAAGCATGTTGAGGTGTCAGCCTGAGTTCAAAGCCTAAGTTCCTCATCTGTGGCAAGCTCATAAGCAAAGGGACTTCTCCTTCTTCCACTATGTCGAACTCTGTATGGTGGATCGTCCATGCACGATCATACATGTAAATCACCAGTTTCTGAGAGCAAGTAGCCTTCTGGGAATTGGCAAAGTAAAACTTGCTCTTGGTAGCCTCAAAGGAGTACCATAATCCACAATCTGGGTGATTTTCGACATAGTTGCAAAAATGGTCGACTGCTCGCCTTGATCCCATAGCTCTAGTGCATCCAATGTCTAGGATTGCAATAGTCGGCGGGAAGCGATTCTCAGTCAAAAATGAAATGGCCTGCATCTCCTTCACTTCTTCCTCAGCGCTCATAAGCGCAAAGCCATCAGGAGCCTTTGTGAGCATCTCCTTTGACAAAGAGTACCTCACAGGGGCACTCATGCCATTGAAGATCGTCTCACCATTGTTGACCGCACAGTCAGCTTCATCTTGACATGAGGTCATCATGCCTGACAGCAAGTCCACCTCACTGTCATGGACTTCAGCTGCTGCTGTCACACAATGTGCAAAGAAACCTTGTTGACCTCCTGATGCTTGTGAAGATCTTGAAGGTGCAGGTAAAGAACGTGGCTGTTGTTGATTTGCATAGTTTGCATCTTGTTTGCCATCTCCTTTATCTTTTCCTTTTCCTTTCTTGCCTTTTCTCTTGCCTTTTCCTTTTCCTTTGTGGGAAAACCATGCTTCTTCAAGCTGTTGCCAAAAGTCATTGGCATCATCATATTCTCCTTGAAGATAGTCATTCATATCTTCGGCAAGAATGGCATCATATGCTACTTGGTTTGACTCCCAAGTGTCCTCATAAGGATTCTCTTCAAAGTACTCTTCTGGATATGTTGTCTGTTGCTCATCAGCAAATTGGCCTTTACCTCGTCTCTTTCCTTTTCCTTTTCCACGAGGTCTGAAGAATCTGCGGCCTGATCTTCCTTTACCTTTTCCTTTTCGTCTTCCTTTTCCTTTGCCTTTTCTGGCTCTTCTTCCTTGGAATCTCCTTTGGAACCATGAGAAGTTTTGATCATCATATACCCAAAAGACATCGTCCAGGGCATCTAAAAATCCTTCAGTTCCATCTTCTTCATCTTCGGCCCAATAGCCAAATGTACCATCGAGTTCTCCTTCGTCTAGTACGAGAAATGATCTTCTACCTCCAGCACCTGTCGGCTGCATCAAAGGATTGTCTACTGAAGTCTTTGTTGTGCAGAACATCTCGATGAACACTGTCCTCAACTCTGTTGTAGTATACTGCTGCAGGACCCTGCCACGATGAGTCATCAATGAAGTCAAAGTGTTTCGCTGGTCCTGAGACAAATCTGCAAGTGACAGCATGAGTAAGGCAATGAGATTTTCTCCTAGAGGAAATTCGTTCTGATGAAAGGTCCTCATGTTGCCATTGATGGTCTGCATGATTTCCTGAATCCTTTCTGCCGTTGGTGCTGTTCCAGTCAATGCTGCATCTGCCTGCATCTGAGCTAGGACTTGTGGATGTGCTTGAGTGACTGGTTCTAACATGTCCATCCAACTGCTCATAAGCCTTTGGAGTAAAATCTGGAATCTTGTCATCCATTTCATCATGTCAGCTGATCCTCGATTGAAGCGCACGAATTGCATGAACCTATACAGGAATACATTGGTTGATCCTTTCACGAAATATGGTCGTAGTACTCGTTTGAAATATTCTACGCCGGCTCCTGGTGGATCATTTGCCTTCAATGCATCTCTGTCTAAAACACGCTTGTATACAGCTGCTTCTCCTTCTAATCTGTTTCTCAATGCTGGTCCTCTTTTCTCATCTTCCAGCTCGGTGATATCACACCAATCGTCTATGGCATCCTCATAGGAAAACCATGAAGTCTTTCCATCATAAGATGGGGGCACCTTTGTAGTGACCTGTGTTGTCATTGCTATTGCTGCTGGTTCTCTTCTCACATGCCTATTCACGTAGGCTGCTGGCTCATAAGCCACATCCGCATCAGGCTCTTCCCAGTCGTCAATCCAATCCATGGCCGTTTGCCCACTAGCAAGTCTATGCCTAGGAAAGGAGCTCACCTGGGTCTTCCAGGATCACTGCTCCGCTACCACTGAAAGAGTGACTAGGGCGTACACGGTAGAGGTGCAGACCGCTAGTGTCTTTTATGCGCAGAGTCTTATCCTCTTGCTCTTTGAGCCTTGAAGCAGTCAAGCATGGACACACTATATTTATATCAGCTGTTGGAGTGGAACCCTGTACAGGTAGGCTCTACTTTTCAGGGGGGGGGGTGGGGGGGGGGTCTTCGACCTGAAAAATCAGGGGTTAGGATTTGCACCCGGTCGAAAGAAACCTTGCTATCGCAAGAGTAACTCCAGCTAGCTTCGCTAGCTTTCGTGACAAAGGGCTGCCAGGGCTCCGGTGCGGCAGTGCGAGAGATCTTAGACGTGGTGCCCCTCCAAAAGGCCCATAATCCAAGACCTTCAAATACTATTGGGAGTTCGAGGTTGTGCTTCTTGTCCGAGGCTGGGATCTATATATGGAACCTTGTAGTATTTAGTAGTATACATGACCCAATTGATTTGAGTTTGGCTAGCTTGCATGATTCAAAAGCCCCGCCGATCTCTGTAGACAAGGGAGCGTGGTCCGGCATGCGATGCAGCTTGGGATTGCATGATTCATCCAAAACACCCCTTCCAGTGGGAACAATCAACTACAGTGACCATGGATCCTGTTCTTTGGACCTGCCTCCTGATGGTGTGAGATCTCTCTCTCTATATATATATATTGTATTATAGTATGTCATGTTCAAATAAAATATTTTGTATATCATAATACATATTTTATGTTTGTTATATGTCTGTGTGCGGGCTTATTATATATAAACACATCGTCTGAGTTCAACACACCCTTCACGCCCTCAACTCCATCCAGGTACCTTGTCACGCTTGCCTTTGGCGGGCCGACTGGAAGGCTTCGGCAGCTGACGCTCCGAGGGCGAGTGATCCAAGTGGCAAAAGTTGCAGTCCTTGGATGTTCCGAGTGCACACCATGCCAACATATGTATGAGTGACTGGCTGGCTGTTTTTGTAGGAGTTGTTGTCATAGGAAATCACACTCAAATGGTATTCGCAATCCACGCCTGTGGAATGCCATTTTGTTTGTGTTTTTTTGGCATCTCAGATGCCGCAAAGCCAGTCTCGACATGTCTCAACCGAGAACAAGCTGATGGCATTCCAGTTATTTTTGTTGCAAGCCATTTGCACAAGAATGCATCAAACCTCAATGACTCAATGATATCCACAAGTGGAGATGCGAACCAAACAGATCACAAATCGATGGCATTTAGTATGAACGATTGCGGATCAACTTGCATGACCCCTCCGGGAAACAAGGGCGTGAGTGAGGTGGGGTTCAGGGGTGTGGGATGGCATCCAACGAGAGGAGACAAACGCATGGAACCACAGCAAATGACACACCATTCCTGCTGCACACATTGATGGCATCCACACGTTGAAACCCTGCTCTGCGGTAAGAGGTTTGGGGAGCTCGTTTCCATTCGTTCTACGAGCCAGATGCCATCTGAGGGTGATCCCCTATACTTCCACAACATAACTGGTCATTAAAGGCTTGGTCATGGTCTGATTTCTTTGGACTTGATGCCCTCACATGATCCAACTTAGGGATCACCTTACTACCGCCAATTGACCCCCCAGTGAATCCTTGTCTGCTGGCGAATGTGCCCAAGTGTGCCAAATGTCCACGGCTCCGGAGGCCCGTTGTTCACATGATCATGAGATGATTCTACCTGAGACCTCATTTTGTTGGATTGATGGATGTTGATGGAGAGCCCGGGCAGAACGTCCTGGCGTCATGAACGCCTCCGACGTGGAAAAGCACCCACGAGCCCAATTTTGACGCCCACCAACAGCGAGACCTTTTTGCATGGGCGTTGAGTCACCAGTGTATCCACAGGCATCTGTGCACGCAAGTCAGTCCGTGTTGACATGTAATTGACCCATCCCGAACTCTCATCAGCAACATGTGGCATGTCAACCACTAAGCTAGCCCATGTTCAATACATCCGTATGAATTTGTGTGAAAGACTTAACTTAATAGCCTAGGGGGGGCCGGAGTTTTACGTGTTGTTCCGACTCAAGCATGTCGCTCCACAAGGCTATAGTTGAATGCCGAATTCTTCTGACCTGCCTTGAGCTTTACTCACATGCAGCCCAGGAGCAACTCCGTTCCGACATCCAGTGGACCTCTGGCTTTGCGTCGCTGAAAAAATGTTTGTTTGTATATTTTTTGGGGATGCATCACATTCAAACCAAAGAACCACGTTGGATTCCTCGGTGCAAAAGGCACCACTAAATGATCAAACTTTAGGGCCCATCCAGCCAGCATCATTCAGTTCAAGGGGAAGCGCCCCAACGTGCAGTCGTCTGGTCATCCACTGGCGCTTCATCCTGATTGACCTTCAGTTCCCTAGGGAAGAAGTCCTTTGCAAACGTCAGTGACGCCCTCCTTGATCTTGTTCATTGGAGTCACAACTAGGATTCAACGGTCAATTCCAGGTTCTCAAACCAACATGGATCCATATGGGTCCATACCTGGTCAAGCTATCAGGACACATCAGGACTCTACACAAACCTGACACACACACAAAAACAAAGTAAGTAAAATATAGTAATATAATATATGTATATATATATATTATAGAATTAATAGAGATAGTTTTCAGTCATCAGCTCAGTCCACCTGCGGTGTATCACCCATATCCTTGGGTTCCCTGCTCGACCACAACAACCCATAAAGAACCACAAACAACCCAAATGCAAATGGCACAATAGATCCATTGGGCTCATAGGGGCCAGTGTTTCTTGAGACATCCTTGGCCAACTTCCTGGATACAAACCACGGACCCCTCTGGCTGTCTCCAGCCCCAGCGGCGACATAAAGAAGGCACAAGGTCGGCAACCTGCCTCGGCGAGTCGATCGGTTGACCCAAACAATTGGGGCGGTTTCGGCCAGGATAGGAAGACCTGGGAGGTGCCGAGGCATGCCGAGGCACATGATTTGTTCAGGCAAAATCTACAGGGACACCTCTGCCCGTTGATCTAGGAATCATGGAAAACAGTGTTTTTTTTTTTTCTCAGTCCTAGTGGCACGTTGCTGCAAAGTAACATAAGTGACTACAACTTCCTAGGACATATATAAAACATTCTAGAGTTGTATACGCTTGTAGAGCCATGCCGTGTCTTGCCCCTCGTGCTTCCATCCTCCCCCTTCGGCTCCGCCGTACCACCGCGGTGATCTTCGGTCCCAGTGGCGGCTCCGCCGTGGTCTAGCGACCCCACCGATGGGACTGTCTGGTCCTAGCTGAGGTGAGCTTCAATGATCGGGACATGAGTTGGACATGAGGTTCCAGGTTGATGTATCGATCAAAACCCCAAAAACCTGAAGATGTAGAACGCTTATTATAGGGAAGGAGATTCATCAACAATGGCCATAAACACATGCTTGTTTCCCTTTCCTGCGACATTTTGGCAGGCGCCTCCAAATCGTCTTCCTCAACAAGGGTGAGAGTGCTTGGACGACTGCAAAACTTCTACTTAGCTTAGATGTCTCGAGTTTGGGTGGTCATGGGTGGTCTCTTCACCAAGCTCATCGGGTCTCCACTCGCTCGTGCCCGGCCCTCCGAGTACGGGGACCTCCTCCACACCACTCCGGTCATCCTCTCCTCGAGCACGTCGTCGTCTTCGGACTCATTTGAACTCACGTCCGCTGTATCAAAAATGATATGCTGCGCCTGCGCAGCACAGGCACATGGCGTGTGGCACTACCTCTGAAGCACACAAACACAAATGAGTTCAAAATTAAGTGCAGCAAATCCGTTGAACCCATCAATGGTCCTAGCCTAGCCAATTATATAGTAATATAGCATTCAGTTATAATATATGTTCATAATTGTTCATATATGACTGCGTGATCTATTGGCATGGCTCCGTGGTCTGGCATGTGCAAAGACATCCAAACACCTCCAAACACACGTATAAAGCTCCCAGTGAACATCATAAAGCAGGCCTGATAAGAACCTGGTCTGCCTGTTCTTTTTACATGGAACGTCCCTGCAAATCAAAGAGCTAACTGCCAGCAAACCTGATCATCAATCAACTATACACACTGTCCAAAAAAATATATATATGTGTGTGTGTTACTGTCAAGAAGTGCCATGGGCTCTGTGGTTCGCGTGGTTCATGTGCATGTGTTGTCCGTGGTTCGCACCGCTGGCACTGCGAGGCAGCGCCGACTCTTGGGGTTCCGACTCGCTGGTAGCGTTCAGACCCGACACAGCTCCGAGCTGGGAAGCGAGCTTCCACCCCGCAGTTTAGATACTTTATATTAGATAGGACAAATCCTTCCTGACTGAGAAGAAAAACGGTCTATGGATGTAGAACTGCTTGAGCCAAACAAACACCGCAACAACTCCCCTCCAGCAACTCACAAGAGAATCCCTTGAGTGCACTCGTTTCTACTACTCGTTGCACCAGTCAAATCAACGGGACAGCAAGAGGTTCATGGTCTAAAGCAGGTTGCGGACCAGGCCAGGACCAGGAAAACCGTTCAACCCCCACCGCACCTACTATGCCCCTAGCCCAGTGCCACGAATAACTCTGCACGAGGCTCGCAATCGCGCGCTCGCTCCCGAACGCGCACCTGCCGGAACTCGGCCACCGGTGGAATTGACACTCTGGCGCCTGGGCAAACAGCGGCTCTTCCGCACCGCAGCGGCCGCAGCGGACGAGCAGTTCGATTCTGCTGAGCTCGGTCCCTTCGGCCCGCCAGGGCCCGCCAGGGCCTGCCAGGCCCTCAAACAAAAGGAAGGAGGGTACACGTTGGTAGCTGCAGTGCCACAACTGGCGGTTTGGGTGTGGGATGGTGTGGGTGTTTGATCCCTCCAGGAATTTCCACCACTGGGCTCTCGGGTTCTGGGCCCACCGGTAGATGTGTTTGAGGTCACTCTTCCAGGGGCGCCCTGCTCCGCTGCCTACATTTACATGCCCATCCAAATCATCGGCAGCATCAGCATCAGCATCTCAAGCGCACCTCTCATTGACGACATAACCCAAAATAACCCAAAAAAACACTTAAAAAGAACTTCAGAAGCTTGGCACAAACATGCCCAAACTATCTCAATGAACCGAATCGCCAATTGTCCCTTCTGTGTTTTGACCTTCTTGCTGCCAGTGGGCTCATCTGCCAAGCAATCGCTGGCTTTAGGATCCACACAATCCCAATGGATTCCAAACGACCCAACTCCAGGGATCAGTGTCCAATTTCGTCAATCCCCTGAGGAAACACCCCCCCTCCTGAGGCAGGCGCACTGAGAAGAAGCAGTCATGCAAGCAAGTGAACACAACTTCATGCAGTCATGCAAGCAAGTCGTGAAGGGAGGGGTGTGATTCCCTGTCCCTTCTGTGGCTCCCTATTGGGCGGGCTGTGCCTGGGCCAATCTGAGACTGCTTCATTGACTTATCGCATGAAACGAAACTTTGGAACATCCGGGTTTGCTTCTACATGCCTTGACTTCATGAAACTCTATGTAAACATGGCGACATAGGCCCATCCATCTGCAATAAATCGAGAAAGGACCACCTCCATTCAAAAGAACTGCTATTCGCCCGATCAAAGATGTTTCGAGGACTGCCACACTCTATTTCCAACCTGGCCAAATGCACTAGGGCTCTGACCAGTTGGCCATGGCAAATGCAGGATCCCAGGAGGACTGATAGGGGTGGCCTGACAGGGGACTGCATGATATCGCCGGTCGACACGGCTTGGGTGGGCTATCCTTGGGTGGTCAAGGCTTCTTTTCTCTTCGATCAAATGGAGCAGGGGGATGATTCATGTACGCTTGCGGCTCAGTATGGCTAGATGAACATGTTGCAACCAGTAGGGGGGGCGCTGTTTAAGAGAAGGTCTACACGGGTGTTTTTTGGAAGGTACCGGTGTAGCCGGATTCTTAAGCCTGCATAGGGTGGGTAATGCAGCAATGCGTCGAACATCGTAGGCATGGACGGCATAGTAAACAATAGCAAACAGAACAAACAGGCACGAAGTAATGCTGCCTGTTGATTAATAAAGCCACCTCAGTAGCCACCTCCTACCTGGATGCTAAAAAAAAATTGTAAGACCCACTAGTTAGGTGGGAGAATTGGTCAACAGTCAACACTACTAGTGACTGCACCCCCAACTACTCCAAATCCTCCACAAACCGAGTTGATGGGTCTCATGACCGGGACACCGCGGTGTCCATCCCTCGAAGGGGTCTGGAATTGAACCTGGGATCCTCTCCATTGCATTGATTTATGACATGGCATGGAACCCACTAGCAGGCAGTATGGGGATGAATGATCGCTCCAAATTGGGGATGAGATGCCGCCTTCGGATGATCGCTCCCCGCTCTTCGGACGTCCAAGCAACTTGACATGTGGATCTCACCCTCAATTTGGAGGACCAACTATATACGTTGGTTTCAGGGTTAGATGGTTTATATAGACCTCCATACCAAGATATCTTTGGGTGCCAGTATCATCTATATAATTACTACCATCTAATCACTGTAAGCTTCTGACATGTCTCAAGTTGAAACTCCTGGGCCCGATGCACGTCTCCAGCACTCGAGCTTTTCTCGAAGCTCGAGTGCTGGAGACGTGGAACTCACGGTCTACATCTCACCAGGTCAATCCCTCCCCCCCAGGTCTACACGTCACGAAGCCTGTTCTTACCCCAAGAGCATCATGGACATCTGAGGCTCCCCCCAAAAACCCTCCATCTGAGAGCCCACACCTCTAAACGCGAGGAGTCCAGCAGGGAGTCCTAAGTGAATGCCCAAGTGGATGACCCAGCATATTTGTCCAAGGTCCTGGATTGCCGGCACGGCCATAGTTGTTATATCCCAGTTTGCTAAGTTGTCTTGAAACATCTGCTTTACTTGATATCATCTCCGTATGGACCACCTGGTCTAAGACTGTCTGGGCCACCGGGTAGACTGCAGCGAGTGTTCGCGCCAGACTGTCCAGACTGTCTGTCTGTCCATCCAATTTCGGAGCCGAGCGTCTACATTACTGGGGGAGTCCGCCTCACTGCCATGGCTCATGATGACTACTCCCATCGCCCAGTCTGAAGACGCTGCGATGCAAAGAAAACAAAAGCACAGTGGCTGTGAGATCCCATGCCTTCAGTTTCATCTTCCAACATACACGAAGTGACCCAGGTTTTGGGCATGCTGCAGCTCTGGACTATGAATGGCTCTTAGGTCTGATGGCGGCTATCAGGCCTAAACGGCTTAATCTGCTATCAGGACTGCTCAAATGATCTTCGGTTTCCTTCAGTTTGGAGCTAAATACTGGCGCTAGTGACCTATAGTGACTTCCAATCATGGCCCGCAAACTATGCATCATCATCGCGGGTAGTAGGGAGCTGTGAGAGCAAAAACCGCGGTGTCGGATCCAAGTCCCACCAACGCCCTCAGACTCAAGCCTGCTTGGCTAGGGAACACCCGGCATGAGGAATGAATCTGGTAGCGTTTGGCGCGGTCCAAACAAAGCGGCGGTCATTAGCCGTGTTGAAATCGCAATGGTGCTTCGAATAATTTATGTTTTGGGATCATGCTGCATCATACTTGGTGTGGAGAAGCAAGTGGACCCACTACCATGAAATCTGGAGCGATAGCCTCGACAGATTTGTCACAAACCCAAATATGTCTGGGTGTGGAAGGTGCAAAACAAATTGAATACCCAGCAATAGCCCCCCTAATCAGCCAAGTCCTAATGTTGTTTATATGCAACTATATACACGTCCGCTTTGTTAGTGTCAGTGCGTTCCGGCGAATCACACACAAATTTACACAAATCAAGATTGAGAACCCAGTTGCAAGCTCCTTGCCACAAACATTTGATTCCCAACAGCAACATGTCTTGTCTGGCTTGCAATTTGGAAAGCACTGGATCCATGTCTGCTGCGTGCTGCACACAACACACATGCAACCACGATATCGCGCGTGCCCATGTAGTGCAGCATACACAGCGTTTGAGGTAAATTAATTCCACCAGTACTAGTATTTCTTGCACTCCAGCCGCCGTCCTACAAGGCAAGCTGCAAACACACACGTGACACACAGAATACACCCAAGCGTGGCACGGGCCGTTCCTGTGAGGTCTGCCGCTTGCGACATCCGAACGAAGTCCCTCGTGGCCCGAGCAACTCATGGCGCACCAACGAAAAAAAAAAAAAAAACAACATGGTACACTCCCTGAAAGAATTGATGGCCTTCTTTTCCGGGGATGGCACCAGCACCTCTTATTTGGTCCGGTCCTGCGACGAGTCAGTCCTCGCCCGGCTCTGAACATCGGAACGTCCTTGAGGCACACGGAGGCCAAACCCTCCGCCCGGTGCTTCTCGCGGAGTTCGCGCTGGGCATCGTCCAGGAAGTCCTAGAGACGATCGCTGTTTGGGGGGTCATCCCAGCCTAAACAGCAAAGAGTTTGCTTTGCTCTACCCCAAATCAAAGCGGTGTTTTCGAGGCAGGAAACATATCAACTGTATGGCAAAAGAATGGCAGGAGAACTCAACCGCCTTGATCCGTGAAGGCGGGGAGTTATATATAGATACAACAACGATGATTAGGCAACCGGACAAGCACATATGTTTCGAATCTTTCAAGCAACCTACATCAACCTACAACATCCTACCACTCAGAACCGTTGAGAAGGGCTCGTGTCACATTGCAAAGGTCACGAATTGAAGGTGTTGGGCAATCATGCTTCAGCATTTGCAAGGAGTTGAGGGGCCAAACAGCTGGAGCCCACATCTGCAAACATAGTCCTAGTATGTTCTAGTAGCCTATTCCATCAAAACTGGGAACCTCACTGCAAAGAATGAGATTCCTGAAAACAAGGAATAAAAGAATTCGATTAACATTCAGTTAACTTCACTGTAGATTCAGGTCACAAACGGGAAAACAGGATTTCTTCAAAGACGTCTGGCGGCCCTGGAAGGCCCTTGGGGTGGGCCGTCAGCAGACCTGGTCCCGCCGCCTCCTCTGGACGTGCCACCAACTCCGAGGCTGAGACCTGGACCGTGGGCCGCCGTTTGCCGTGGGCCGGTTCTGGAGAGTGGGAGCTCAAAGCCGTTCTATTTGTTTTGGGGAAGGGTCCCAAGGAGAGTTTATGGATTATGGTATACACAATATAATACATAAATATATAATGATATCAAATGATATAAGTCAACAGTTCATAAATATGTATGTGTATATATATATAAATATGCTTCCTAGGATGTGTTCCGGGTTTCCGGTAGCGAACGTTTTCAAGCGTTGTCTTCATGTGTTGAATTCATCCACCTCGGGCTTAGTGATGTTTAGTGTATGTGCCAAACACCTCCGAGAAAAAGAAAAGCAAACACAACATCACAATGTTCTAAATGTAGTGGTTGTTTCTAGATTTGAGGTCTTTGCCTCCTGTTTAGAGCCACCAGGGCCGACATTCTGCAATTTTAAAGAGACCCAAGACTTCTCTCAACGGAAAACATCCACAAGAAATAGAAGGTATAAACATCATAATGTAGACTATTGATTTAAACAGCAATTGGACAGCTTACACATTCCAACAGGGGATCATTAATGAAGCCAAGAGTATACATTAGGTATATATACTGAAGAGTGAGTCGAAGCAAAGCCGTCCCCAATTGTCCAGTGATACTTTTCTGCGATCATATCTTCCTGGGTAACGCCTGTTTTTGGAGGGTGTTGTAGGTTGTCTATGTTTGCATGATGTTAGTTTTCATGCTCGCAGCACAACAAACCCTGGTCGCATGGCTGAACCCCATATATAAGCATCCTCAAGCCAGAATCTGGACAAGCATACCGTCACCTCAACTGTGCGTTTGGCGGGCTGCTTGCCTCGAAGCGCAAAGCCTTCTGCAAGAGTTGCTCGCTCTCCGGGCGTTTCAAAGTACCTTGCTGTAGGCACATGACCGCAAGAGCTTCGGCCATTTTGGCAAATTAGCAAAGCGCAAAAGTCATTTGATCTAATACTAATGCGTACATAGCAGGATGTGCAAACCTGGCATGGACAATCATGGAGTTGCACCCATAACAAAGAAAGTTTCCATGATAAGTATAGGTTAGTTATTATATATATACCCATATTCATACACTTCAACCATCTGCATGGAAGAGTTGAAATCAGTAACCATATTCAGGCACTTCATGACCATCTCAAATCTCCACCGTCAAGACCCAAAAACACGATCTTCCTTGCAGGTCTTCAGATCTACATCGCTGGGGGTAGTGTCAGGCTGTCATGCTCCCAAGCAAAAATCACCGTTATTCAAGCCAAGCACCAGCCAGGAATCCTGGGCCGAGCTTTATGCGGAGAAAATAACCTTCGCATACCTTCGAACCGATAAGCAGCTTCCACCCTCCAATGGCCTCCAAACTACTTTCCATGGTGACTTACAGTAGTGTTCATGGTACATTCTTGCCAGGCAAAAAGACTATTGACCGTCTAGTAGTGTACACGTCTGCTGTGGATGCAGCAATACACGTGTGCCCGCCTAATGTAAGAAAGGCCACTGGCATCCAGCTCAAGTATGCGATGATCATTGACACAAGTAGTAGAAGCGCCCAAAAGCTTCAAACTTTGATTCGTGGCAATGTGTGAGGCCGACATGTTCAGAGCTATTGAACTTTCATGAGTTTTCGCAAACCCGCAAACTGCACAAGGGCACTCCCTCTGTCTGTGGAGAATGTAAAGAACACCTCCGCGGAGGTCTGTTAACAAGAAGTTATGATCTGTGGAGGTCGCGGTGAAGCCATCTCATCCTAGTAGCAATGCCCTTTGCTCCTAGTAGCGATGCCCTTTGCTCGTAGTAGTAAGGCCAGGAGCTACTAGTAGCGTCCTTGCTCCTAGTTCGTTCCTGTGTAGGTTCTTAAGCGAGTCACCAAGAAAGCTGCTACTGTTTACATCTTTACATCATCAACATCCCACTGTCCTCAACAAATTCCTCTTTAGAAAAAAAACGATCCTCACCAATCTCATCCCCTACATTCACATCCCTATCACTCTACTATGAGCTACCATGAATAACACCCACCGCATCCCACGAGTCGTTTAGGCTCCACGCCACAGCCCAAGCGTCGGATTTTCTGCCGGTAGGGCCGCCCGACGTCGTGACCGGACGACGCCCAGCGCCAGGCCGCCGCCTGGGAGGTGGAATGTGACCTTTCTAGGTCATGCCGGTTGCAAAGGCTATACGGTTATATAAATTTATCAAATATAATAGTACTAGTACTAGTACTAGTAAGAACTTTAACAATAATGGAGGTAGTATTATGCATATATATATAAATATATATAAAAGAGTTGTTCCCAGGGTCCCTCCCAAACAATCATCAGCAAATTAGCAATGATTGATGAGGCAATTCATGTGTTTCTTGGAGCAACCTCCGCATGGAAAGAAAGGACACCAAACAACACAATGTCCAGTTTGCTTCTTCATCGTTGATGTACAAAACTACCTTCATGCGCTTCATGTTCACCACCCAGTCGCTTCCACCCATTTTGGTGCCTCCAAGCGCCGTGCCAGTCCTCCAGCAACCACCTCGGCCCAAGCCTCCTCCAAAGGCCCCGAAGGTCCGGCATCACCGCGCCCCACGGCGTCGCTGAAGGATCTGGCAGGGTGTCGGTGTGGCGAGGCGTGGCGAAGGGGAAGCAGGCTGTTTGAAATGGTTTCGGTAGAAATTCACTGAACAAGGCCATGGGAATGGACTGGGGTGAAGGAATCCATGTCCATCAACCCAAGGCTTCCCGGATTTTGATCACGATACATCTTTTGCAATAGGGCCTATAGGCGCTATAGGGATCCCAAATGTTGTGGTCCTTAGTCCTTATAGCTGAGAGGTTCAATTATCCCTCAGACTGCATCGTGAAGGAAGGGATTGTGTACACAAATGTGGAAGTTCATCATCCTTCCCCAAAGGGTTGGGTCTGGCTGAGCCGCAGACTTGCCAGACTTGCAGTAGAGCACACAAGCCTTTTTCTGGAACAAAGGAATCTGAAATTAACAATCGACCAGTGCTGATCAACCACCCAATGATTCAATGATCCTGGTCGCACTAAAGACCCCACCAAGATTGTCATGCCGAGATATTCCTGTTTGTTGAAGTAGCTGCTTGGTCACCATTTGGTATGACGGATTGTCCATCAATTTGGCACCGACTCTTTTGTCCACAGGATGTCGGATATGCAGTATACCATGGACCACTGCATTGATTGGGAGATCAGCCTATTAATTCAAGCACTTCCAAATCAGGATTTCCGCAGCGGCCTGGCCAGGAAGTCCAAGGACTTCTGCCGGCCATCCGCAGCCATGCGATGTGAGGACTGCGCCGGCTCGGCCAGCGGCCAACCCAACAGATTGTCAACGTGAAGGTTGGGTTGCTTGCTTGGACCAATGACCAAGGTCAACGCTCGAAAAAGAGAGTTCGTCCAAAGTGCTGAAAACATCAAAAGGGATACAGGATACAGTTCATGCGATGGACCTTGTTGCATCCACAATGCCTGCAGTCTGTTGCCGATGGGATTTGCCCTGTTTTTGTGGTGTGTGCAACATGGTGATCAAAATTCTTGTAGTTATAGAAATACACTGAGAATCGACCGCTAGATATGGTGTGGTATGTATAGCACACATGCACGCTGACATGAAGCATGCAGGATTCCCAAGGGACAAAGTGCCTCATGTGCTAGAAATCAAAAGGCACAACCTGCAGGTGTACTCTTAGATCCACCTGCAAATGGACCAGTCTTGCTGGGCTGGTTGGGTTCAAGTCCTGTGAATAACGTTGCATTCACACGAGTAGACCGTTTTTTCGTGAAAAACGAAGCACATACGTACGACAACATCTCATATCCTGATCGTGGCCGCCGCCTTTAAAACAATTTTGTCAAGTGAACGTCCTGGTGTGTTGACATGTTCGACACGCCTCAACTCACTCGGCAATTAGCCCTTGAATTGAGGGATCAGTGGAAATCTGCCGAAGTCTGCATTGCTTGGCTGGAAAACCTAAAGCACATTGATCCAGAAACATATTCAGTTTGCCAAGTTCTTTTCCACATCTCAAGTTATTGATGAAGTCAATCGTCTTCGTGAGTGTGCATGTGCACTGCTAGGGACGAGTCTCAACGCAGCAAAGTGAGCCAGGGCAGGGCGGGCACATCAATGTACAGTAAATACGCTGATGTATGCGCCAATCGGCAAGACACTTTGAAACAACTAGTAGGCGTTTATGATTTGAAGCCAACCTCTAGACTCTATACTACCTTATTGGACCTCCTCCACGCTGAATATAAACATCTCCGAGGACTGGAAAGCAGGTCACCCACTGACTGAATGTTGCGGATCCGCAAGCGCTTGTCGTGTGGATATATAGATGTATTATATATGTATTATGTGTATGTGTTACGTGTTTGCATTTTTACATGCAAACTTGTAGTATGGTCTTTTCTTACCCACTGCAAAGCTACGCCCCACACGGGATTTTCGTCAGAGTGCACTGATGTTCTCACCCGACCAAGTCCAAGTAACAGCAAAACATATACAGTATGCCATCCAACCTGGCCACAAGCGTGCCTTCCTCTCTTCTTCTGCATCTCGTCCACCCAAACCGCCAAAGCACACCACGACCCGGTGGTTCCATGGTCGTCTTCCCCCCCGCATCTCTGGGGCTGGCAACCGCCATGGTGTGGTCCCTGAGAGGAACACGCTGGCCCCGGCAAACTCCCCGCTGCTCACTTGGCATGTCTCTTTTGATCTAGGAAGGTTTGCGTAGAGACCAGGTACTCTTCACTGTCAACATCTACCAAACAGGTTTACAATGTAAAACGCATGGAGGGGGTTTACTGACCCAATAGAAGGGGTTTACTGTCAACATCTGTAAAACATAATTGGTAGGAACCCTTTCTATTTTGCCCCTGCCGCTGAGGGATCTCACTGGCAAGAGTTCAAACTTGTGTGTGACGCATCTTCTTGGCAAAATACCGCATGGTCCTGTCGCTTGGAGAGAGCTGAATAGAATGAAGGCTAAACGGAGGGTGTGTGGAGAAAGGGGGTCCGCAAAAATCGTTTATACGAAGTTAGTGCATCAAAAATACCTTCCACGAAGTTCTGCGAAGGTTTCTGGGATTTCGTTGCAGTCAGTTCTCCTACTGGCCCACCATTCCACAGCCTTGGGTTCTACGAAGGTCACGCGCCTTCCACGACGTTAGTAGAATAGGTTTTTTGCAAAACCCTTTCTGTGCACTACCCTTCTGTTTGCCTTTGATAGAACCTGGAAAGGGACATATGACATAGCCCTATGAACAAAGTTGATGCACAGCTTTGGATTCAATCCATCCCTCTGCATGGCATTACTCTGAGCATCTCTGAGCAAGGGCACAAATCAAGGAACAAGCTCATTGCATGCGGTAATAAAACGTATTCAGTAGTTTCTGGCCCGCACTGGGACCAAAGCAATTCCAGCAAAACCGTTTCTACAGGTGAAAACGAACGTGAGGAAACCCAATATTTCTCTGATTGCTTTTGGCTTCTAGAAACGCCATCTTTGGGCTCACGGGCCTTCGGTATCCAAGATGACATGACGGACTGAACAGAACGGAACCATTCCTTCAGTGCGAGGAAAAAAACAAGAAGAATGGAAGTGGAATGGAACCCTTAGCAGGAAAAGTGTTCGCGCTGCATGCGGATATAAAGATCGGTGTGCATGATTAAGGATCACTGATCACCAACTGCACAAACTGATTAACTACTTCTATAGAAACACAACTAGTTTGCATGTGTCCTGTGTGGGAAATAGCACGCACGGCATCACAAATTGACATGGAGAATTCCTATGGCTTCCGCTCCGCCCCACCTTGAGAGAACTCTGAGTGCCAAACTCCCATGGCCGAAGATGCCTGACAAACACCACTCGAGCAACGAGGCTCCGATGGTAACAGGATCCTGCGCCCAGCGGTTTCGCTGATCATTCTAGCTGCTAGCATCCGCATCACTGGATCAAAGACTGAAAGCCAAATGAATTCTCGCAGCTTCTACGGCACTATGATATTCGTTAATATTATGCAGTTGCACCACATTCAACTGAACGAAACCTAGTGACATAGTAGATGTAACTATCCTAACTACTTCACGTCTCTTCAGCGTGCCGTGGGATCCGCTTTGCTCCATCCAACGCCCCGTCGCTGCACGCGCCAGGTCGCCGGGGGATGATCACGGTCTCTGCACGCAGGGGGCGGTCGGGGCGCTGTCCATCGCGCGCCTCGTTGGGCGCGGTTCTGGACGGCGTTGGAGTTGGAAACGGAGTCCAAAAAGAAACGAGTCAACAGGGTTGGAGTTGAAATGAAACCCATTCAATGATTATGGTTGATTGTATTTCAACAGCCCTAAACATGTTCAGCACCATCCAGGTAGTTGCTTTGAAGGAATTAACCGTGAACATCAAATGAAGTCCATGACTCGAAAGGGTCATTCATCGGGGAGATACGAATCGGTTCAGCTTGTAAGGACCCAATCAGGCATCTTTCCCTAGGGCTTCAAGATGCTTCAAGTATTGTTGTTTCGATGGTGTTTTGGGGTGGGTTTGGGGGTTTGGGGGGTCCAAATACCTCAGCAGGTACTCGGAGTGTATTGAGTGGGCCGGACATCAAGGCCCATGACCGCCAAGACATCAAGGCCCGTGAGGCGTGACTGGCCATCATCAGATCACCCATGAACTACTCCGGCGTCTTTGCAACGACTTCCGGTGTCTCTGCGGGCTGTCCGACCAGGCCTGGAACTCATTTCTCGCAACCGAAACGACTCACAAGGAAAAGGAAAGGGCATCATCCACACACACACACAAACCATCACAACCTTGAACTTCAAACCTCAAACTACTCCTCGCGGCGCCTCGAAAAGGAATGCGCCCCCACCACGTCCATCCTCGCTGCGCCGGAGGATGCGGAACCTCGGTGAACGCGCCGAACGGAACCGAAGAAGGAAGGAACCGTCGACTTGTCTTCAATGATCTTCTGAAGAAGCGATGGCTTAAGTGCCATCTGAAGAGATGGCTTCTCTTCAAGAAGCGATGGCTTCAATCAACTTGTTTGAAGAGATGGCACTTGTTTGATCGATCGACTTCGATATCCCTGTCTTCAACGGAAGCGAATGATGGCTGGCAGGATGAATCAATGTGGTTGGACATGTTCATCCCAATGTCCTTGTTTCAGTGGGTCCCAACAAACCATTTCAAGTATCATGCCCCACGTATGCGTGAACCATTCCACGTAATGGGCGTGTTGGGGGCCTTCAAGGGCCATCTCCGCTGTTCTCGTTCCGCGATGCGGCGATGTGCGACATAAATCGCGCTACACTTTACTTTTTAGTGATCCCCACCACACTTAAGAATCTAACAACCCTGGACCCTCACCTGACCGGTGGGAAAAACATACTTGTTAAAAGTAAGTTGTTTGTACAATGGACACTTGGCATGTCTTTCGGAGACTTATGATTCAGTCTTCCCACGTGGTTTGTCGAGGGCTTTAGGATGTTTTAGGCTTTTGCCAAGGGAAAGTCTCTGGGAATTGAGCGAGATTTTCTGGGAACCCGGGGGGGCATGTTCATGATCATCCGTGATCATGCTTGAGCCTCTTTTCTCGAAAGCACACGGCCGCAACTGCAAATGTCAGTGTGTTCGAGCACCCCGGCGTAGCATTATCGGGTAAGAAGTCTTGCCATGAATCCTGCCGATGGCCATGCTGCCAAGTGCCCCCTGCAGTCTCCCAAAAGGTTGTTGATGGTTATTGTGTCTCCCCAATCACCCTCAATTTTGTTCACCCAAGCATGACATACATGCATCAGCCAGTCCAGTGGCAAATACCAAAATGCTGTATAATTTGAGACTTTCTCAGAATCAGCTACATCTTGCTGAGATTTACCCAACACCCATCCACATCACTCAGTGCTGGGCACAAGAGTAGGGCTGAGACGGCTGAGAGGACATGAGAGGACAAACATGGACAAACCTTCACAGTTGAATGTCTACAACTAATTGAAAGAACTCCTCATTGACCTCTGAAAGTGGAGTTATCTTCCCCAAGACTCATCTACACACGTATACACACTGTATATCTACAGTATATACACTGTATATTAATATACACACGTTAATATTACGAGTACCTTGCTAATGTGTCAAAGCTACCTGTGGAACCTTGCTAGGAATGCTAGTAGGAGGACAGTCCCACTCACTCATGTGCCCGAGGCTACTCACTCATGTGCCTGTATGCGGTTGGTTCATCTGCCCCCATTAAAGCCAGCCAATGCCCCAGCCATGGGG